AGAGTCCGCGATCGACACATGTTTTGCACGGCTGCTGTCGATCACATTTCAACCTCCAGTCAATTAGCATGCAATTCCTTTGGGCAGGTAAGCTAATCGTTTACTTGCGTCGTCGACAAAGGGTGCAACTCAAGATGGGCTTGTCTCTTCGTCGACTTGGAGGTACCACTCTCGGCGTCTGACCATCCGCGCTCATTTCGATTATTGTTATCACAGTGGGTCGAAACGACTGCAATGCGTAAGGGCACAGCTCGCGTTGTTGCGAAGATGCCATCGGGGCGGCCATCATCCCGATACCGAGGCTAACCGCTTCGGCCGAACGCCCCCCGCATCCCATTTCAGCTTACGTCACTGTCAGCAATCATAATGTTCCCAGTTCGCGACCACACCGGTAGAGATTCTCCTAAAAATCCTTGAATTCTAGCCATCCTCCTCCTTGTCCGACCATCTGAATTGGCGGCACACATGCTAAAGTTGCAATCTATTCCATCTCTGCTTCGCCTAAACGTCGCCTGTGTTCTACCCGGGCACAGTTCCGATCACGCGATCCCCGACTTAACTTCCGGTGGCAGTCGATAAACTTTTTTTAATTTAAGGCATCGGGCTGGCGCTCATGACTTTAGGCATCATTATAGACTATCATGTGCCCATCCATCAAGCGATTACAGTCACGACCTACCTTATTCTTCTGGGTTGGGCGAAGGTACCTTTTCGAAGTCTTCATCCATCCCGACGTCCAGGTCATGTCCATGGAAGTATGCCTGTAAATCAGTGCCCCAAAACAGGCGCCACGATACGGATTTGACATTCCGGAGGCCGATACGCTTAATGGCATGCTGGGGCGCGCGTTGAGAATGTGGAACCAGGCGACACACCCGTTTGAACCAAATCGTGGTAATCGTCCGGTTTTGCGGCGTGAACAGAATGGACGTTAGGTCTTCCCACCTCTTGAAGTCTCCGATATCGAAGGTGGACAGGCGGTAGAAGAGTGGAGTCGCTTCACAGCGCATTTGCTTACATGGAAGAGGAGGCCAACAGACTCGCGGTTAGAGATTGGCGCACCTTCTTATGTGGACGAAACCGACTTGATCGTTCTGCCTAGACAGCTGTATCCCAAATCTCATTACGCAGCTCACTAGCAAGCCGAAGAAGAGCCGACGTAAGCTGATTTCTCTTTGTACTATGTCTATTAGCGATTGATCAACGAAATGGAAGAATGCTTACATGGCTTGAATTCTATTGGGAGCCATAATTCAATCCTGCATCTCTGATGTGAGTGTTGAGGACATATTGGTGGTTAAAGTTGGACACTGGAAAAAATTATGAGAGATTGTAGGTGTTTAGATACAACTGCGGGTTCAAGAGCGCGTGAGGGTTTCATGGCAGTGCCTCAGCTCAAGCTTTCCGGAAACATACGATTTTCCATTCACCCCCGTACCTTGACGACCTGCAATCGACCCGATACATGCGTCGTGAAAACGGAGTAAGTCACTAGCAACTGAGAATGACCAGAATCGGCTCGCCTTCACGGTTGTCCATCATCGGCAGCTCTCAGGGTACCCTCCAGTCCTGCCTCAAATACAACCTCGATGGCTGGCTTTCCATGAACAAGGCGCAATGCGCGTACAAGTTGAGCCCTAGTATCGGAACTGAGGGCTGACAATTGTAGCCTTGAACCTTTGACGTGCAGCGTGTTCAAAGCCGGGAACGCGATTGCGTTAGCCCTCCCTTGAGGTTCAACCTCTTCCTGGAACCATTTCGCCGGGTAGGCCCAGTGTACATATTGGAATTCTACCGACAACATAGAGGTTTGAATCGAGGTGATCCGCGCACACCGCTCAGCTCTAATGGCGACGATAGCGGCATCATGGCTATAAGGCATAGCCAGTTCCATTTCGAAGGTCGCTGTAGAATAGAAGAGTGAGTTGGCTTCACGGCGGAGCTGCCGACAGCAGCAAATGAGACCGATAGCGTTGGTCGCGCTTTGTTCGCCTTTCCGCGGGTGCATACGTATCACAGAATCTGTAAACGTGAATAGATAGACGAGGTTACGAAGTTCTGCAGGAAGTCGTAGAAGAGGCGATATAAGTTGGTTGACCTGCGCGCTATTCTGGTCAGCGATTACATCCCCATGTCTCGAACAGTATCGTACGCGTTAGCCTTCAAGGTGGAGAGCTTACATTTGGTCGCCTGTTGTAGTCGTCAGACCGGTCGACTCAGGGTTGAGCGCCATGATGCAGTGGTCACTGTAGTAAATCGTAGTTGCTATGTTCGCAAAATGGGCGCCAGACAATAGAAGAACGAAAACGGACGGAAGTGTTGCCCTTCAGTCTTGATGGTCTGCCCGAACAGGCTAGCTGCTTCGTGGGTAGGTAATGACGTCATTGGCTGCTACCTCTAGAAATCAGCTTCTACCATCTCACACCTCAGCAGACATGTGCAGTGCGGAAGCTATAGCACCTGCATTCCCATAACGAACTTCGCGGCGATTAGTCAGGCTGTCTACAGGTCATCGAGAACAAAGATGTCGCCAGTCTTCGCTACACGCCTGATGCGTCGCTCGCAACCCCACACGCGCTCTTCCGCCACCAAAAAGCCTCATTGATAGTTTGCGCGGCCTACGAGTTCGACATCCGACTCCGAGAGATCCTCGCGTTTGACTTGAATATCGATAGCCTTCGAGATACCACCCAGAGACAGTCGATGTCCTGATCTTCGCATACGATAACGTTCGTCACTAGAGACGTAGCTGCTCTTCCCGGAGCTTTCGGATTTGCTGCATATCCTTGGAAGCGTATGCTGATATATTGCATGCATGGCCGGCATGCATGCGACTACGATAAAGAGGTTGGCTTCGGTTGCACACCAGTAAAGACCGGATACGTTGTCGTCTTTGATTGCGCGGTCAGTCATTGTGCAGCCAACAGGAGGAGCAGTACTCACAAGTCGGATTTGAGCTCTGATCGAATCGGACGAGAGCCCATAAGCGAAGGCAACTGACGATGAAGATGATGAAGCCCACAGCGAACATAGAGATAATCTGGACCTTCTTCTTCCAGGACATCTGTAGTCTCGCTAGCATGGGCAAAGGCAACGATAGGATCGCCACGTCGAGCATGATCTCAATGGCGCCGCGAATGAATCCAAATAGCCGAACGTCGACAGTGCATCGTCCACTAATTTCGCCTTTCCACCCGTCCCAGAAGAATGAGATAGGCTGACATTGGAACATCATAGCTCCTGTATTACCAATACCGAAGCAGGTAACGATCCCCATCAGGATGTGCGTAGACGTCCTTAGTTTTGGCGAGGTCGCGATCCGCAGGTAAAAAGCCAGGATGGACAGTTGACAGAAGGCTTCTGCGATTTGGTACATGGAATAGCTAACGTACAACCACTGCAGCGGAATTTAGCTTCATAACGGGCGCTAAAGGCAAGGCCTACCTTGAAGCTATTTGTTATCGCCGCTGGCGATATCCCCCACATGTCTCTGCCGAATCCGAGACGACCCGCTAGGAGGCCCATCAGTCGACCATTTCATCTATAGACGGAGTGTTGGGAGAGATTTACCGATAATGACAGGGACGTTCTGAAACAACGAGGCTAACTACCCTTCGTCAGCTCTAGCGCCCTGCACGCTCAATGCTCATGACTTACCCCAGCCAGCCCGATGAGTAGGTCGTCCAGCCCAAGCTTTGCCTTGGCTGAGAAGAACCGATCTGTCAGTCGCAAGATAACCATTGTTACAGCAAGAGCGCCGATAGATGTCACGACAGCGATCATTGTCTCGCTCTCGTCCCTGATCGGTATGCCGCAAGCCGCGTAGGTTTCGTTGGTCGCACTGAGTGATGCGGAAACGGTACAGTTTTCAGCATTGCAATTCGCGGATGCTGTCTGAAAGGTGGTGTCGGCACACAGGCAGTCGAAGTTGTCGGGCTTGCAATTGCTCGAGGGTAAAAGAGCTTGGAAACACTTTGCCTGTGGTTCTTAGCCGCTGGTGCCACGAAAGCTCAATCATCAACTAACTGCACAGTTCGGTAGTTTTCGCAGGAAATCGTCTTGCGCAAGTATAGGTAGCACGAAGATGGCGAGTGCTGCAAAGCACCGGAAGATCTTCATCGCGACTATGGTCGAGTGAAAAGATGTGTAGCGGCGCAATATCTGCCACGAAGGAAGTATTTGGGGTATATGTCCAACATGACGCAGGATCCATAGCTCAGGTCAGCGACGATCCGTTAAGGGGATTACTTTCTTGAGAGTCTGACAGCTCGCAGGATCCGATGGATCATGGACGTTGTTTCAGTCGCCCTGTCGAACGACCATGCCTTGGAATGATCCGCGCGCAATAGGAGACAATCACTGGTAGATTCCAGGGCTTGTCATTCCTTGACAGGTCTGTGCCGCAACCGATAACATTGACGTCCAGAATTTGACAGATTTACCCTTTCGACACGGCCCAAATCCTGCGGGAATTGCTACGCTTTGTTCTACTGGCGGAGACGTTCCCGAGCACTTTGTATTTGCATTGATGCGGCGCAGCCGTTCTAAGCGAACCGTCATCACGCAGGAAGATACTGATACGGCGAAAGATCTGGCTTGGCAGGACATATATCTCGATCATGTTACAATCCCGGCAACTGGCTTTCCTCATCACTGTCATCATCATGTCTATCGTACTATCAGCCACGATCGCTATTGCTTTCGCTACATTTGCCATACTTTACGCTACCCGTTGGCATCTGGGGAAAAAGAATGCGAGACCTCTTCCCCCGGGCCCAAAGGGCCTCCCGATTCTTGGAAATGTCAACGATATGCCCAAATCCGGCATGCTTGAGTGCCACCACTGGCTACGACACAAGGATGTTTATGGCCCTCTTAGTTCCGTCACAGTGCTAGGGCAGACTTTCATCATCATTAACGACCCTGAGATCGCATTCGAGCTGTTGCGCGATCGCTCAGCGATTCATTCTTCGAGACCCAGCCAAACCTTTAGTGGTGACATGTATGTGGAGAGTTCCATAGCAAAGTGAGGGAAGTGCTCGCTGACCATGCGGACAGGGTAGGATGGCGTCATGCAATTGCGATGACGCCGTATTCCGCAGAATGGAAAATTCAGCGTAAAAATATCACCAAGATAGCGAACACGAACGTTTCGGTGTCCGTGTTTGATGAAGTGCAAGAGACGGAAGCCGCGCATTTCCTGCTCAACCTTCTAGAGTCGCCCGACAAGCTATTTGATCATATACGAAAAGAGGCTGGCAGTGTCATTCTCAAGATCACCTACGGCTACACTACTGTCGCCAATGGCAACGACCCTTTCGTTGATCTGGCCGCCAAGACTATGGAGCAGTTCTCCGATGCTACAGTTCCTGGGAAGTGGTCGGTAGACATCTTCCCATTCTGTGAGTATCGCTTCTTGATGATTCACGCAGCTTCTGATATCGGCTAGTGCGGTACTTGCCAGCATGGCTGCCAGGTACGGGGTTCAAAGACACAGCGAGACGAATGGCGGCGCAGCTCAGCCAATGCACGAATCAACCGTATGAGTTCGTGAAGAAGCAAATGAGAGAGAAGAAGCATTCGCCGTCTTTCTTATCGCAGTGCATCGAAGGTCTTGGCTCGGATGCCGAGATGGAGTTCGTTCACAAATGGGCGGCATTGGCGCTGTACCTTGGTGGTGCTGACACAGTAAGCTCATATGCAAGTTCCCACACCAGAGTCGCTTTACTGACTCAACCAATAGACCGTGTCTTCCATCATGACCTTCTTCCTTGCCATGACTGTCTTCCCGGAAGTTCAAAAGAAGGCCCAAGAAGAGCTAGATCGCGTTATTGGCGGAGGCCGGCTACCCGTCAGTAAAGACCGCGAAAGTCTTCCTTACATCGAAGCAATCATGAAAGAGACCCACCGCTGGCACCTCGTCGCACCAATGTGCCTTCCACACTGCAGCACGGAAGAAGACACCTGCCGCGGCTACCGCATTCCGAAAGGTTCCATCCTTCTACCCAACAACTGGCATTTTACGCACGACCCCGAAGTCTATCCCGACCCGATGGTGTTCAGACCAGAGCGTTTCCTCGAAACAGCCTCACACAAAAGTGAGCCCGATCCCAGGAATTTCATCTTCGGATATGGTCGCCGCATCTGCCCGGGCCGATACGTGGCGGATAACGCGCTCTTCATTACTATCGCCCAGACCCTCGCGGTGTTTAACATCACCAAGTTCGTTGATGGAGATGGTCGCGTTGTGGAGCCGGAGGTGAAGTTTGTGCCGGGAACGCTCAGTCACCCTGTGCCATACCGTTGTTCGATCAAACCGCGATCGGAGGATCATGAGCGGTTGATCAAGGCTTCAGAGCAATTGTTTCCTTGGGAGGAAAGCGACGCCGAAGAGCTGGAAAATATAAGCTGGTAAAGTAAGGGCAAGCGCCCGCCCAAATAAATGCATGCTGCGTATGAGTTCTTTGCTACCTGCACGTCGGTAGCGCAGCGTTCTGCGAATGCGCAAAGTCTGTACCATAAAATGAGGTACAACAGAGTATTTCAAGACTTGTGATAGGTGTGAGACAAGATGCAAGCCGTGCTGTGGATTTCTTATTTTGGCACGCACTGCCTGTCTGCAGGCCGCCCTTCCGAGCCACCCCCCTCATATAATGTTGAAAGTTTCTCTAATGTACAAAGGTCGACAAATGCCTACGTGTACAACACAGTGCTGACAGTGCTGACAACAGACTATGGTGCAATTCGAGTAAAGTCTGAGCTCATGTAATACGCACGTCCCACCATCGTTGCTTTGACTATTCCTTCTTCGGTAGCGGATTGATAAACTTGTCCTCGTGGAGCTCTTCGTCTTTAGGCGCCACACCACGTTCTTGTAGTTGTTTCAGCGCCTCTGGAGCTACCTTCCCAATTTGGTGGCTCCTGAATGGATTGGTCTCAGAACGTATCAGCCACGTCAAACGACCCTCGATTTGCGTATCGTGGATGTTCTCGATCGCTTTATCTGCGCCCTCTTTGGTTTCGAAATCGATGAAGCAAAGAATGCGCGGTTCTTGTTTCTTATCGCCATAGAATGGCGCGAAGTCACTGATGCGTTCGATGGTACCGTGTTTGGCAAAATGCTCATCAAGGATCCGCAGTGCGTTCTGTTTTTGTTTGGCAATGCTGGCATTGGACGTCCAACCGGGTGTCTGGACTCTGATCATCAAGCGACGACCTTCGAGCAATGGGCGTACAGCTTCGAGTGCAGCGGCGGGGCCCTCGTCAAAGAAGTAGCGAGTAGCGTACTTGTGGTCTCGCTTGTCCTCCACAGGACCCCAAACGAAGTCGTCTTTGAGAGGCCTGACGACAAGCTTCTTGCGCTGTATCTCTGCGTCATTAAGCTCTGCAATGACCTTGGCAGCCTCTGCTTCGCTTCCAAGTTCCGCGAAACACCTGGTGTCGTTCTGGAAAGAGTAACGATCAAGACGCATCTGCAATCTCTTGCTGGGTGATCATTAGCTCGAAACCCTGGTTGCGAAATCTCCGAAGAAATGTTAAAAGACGTACACGGTGCATCCTTTTGATCGTAGTAGATCCTCGACCTCTCCTCTTGTCAGTCGTTTTGGTATACCCAATAAAGCAACCCCTGATGATGCGCTTGATGCCGGAGTGCGCGCATCAGTGAGTGCAATCTCTGGTCCCCTCGACGGTGTCTCGATGATGTCTTCTCGCCTCAGTTGGCTGACAGCAAACTCTCGCTTCGTAATTGATGTTCTGATCGACGGAAAAGCCGATGGAGCAACGCGTACGGAAGGCGTTGTCCGAGCAAAGAGACAGCACCCACGAGAGAGTATTCTGGGTACAGCCATGGTCAATTGTGCTGATCCGAAGGTGATGGTATGTGCATCCGCAATCAATGATGGCGAATGATTCGCGTCTGCTCGAAAACACGCCAGCCATTATCGCGCTAAACAGAGAAAGTTCCTTGGCTTGCCAAGACCTGGCTTATCGATAACACTGTCACGAAAGCAGCGAAACTGCGGCCGTCACGCCGTTCAGTCCTTTGTAACGAATAGCTCGACGAAGCTTTCGCCCACTGGATATATTGGCACGGCAAAAAACATCTTATCAAATGCTTGAGAGAAACTTATCAAGATAGTTCATGGATCCAGCTACTTGGGTATCATCTAGCCCTAAACTGTAAGACCGGCCCGTCTTTCTTGCTCGCAAAGACGTCCTGGATCTGATATTCAGACGCCCTTGTCCTGCCGACTTCCAAGTCCTTGCTTCCAGCACCCAATGTCGTGCCTGGCGCCAGTCTCAGATCGTACAGATAAAGTACCCTGGCAATCGTTACCGACAGCTCAACATACGCGAGACCCTTGCCAATGCATCCACGAGGACCGATGCTGAAGGGGTTGTACGCCGACTGCGCTGCCTGGAGACTGCTATGAAGCGGGTTGGCGGATGGATCAGATAGCCATCGCTCAGGAATGTAGTCGAACGGTTGAGGGAAGTAGTCGGCGTTGTGGTGGATAGCGTAAATAGGGACGCCCACGTCGCATCCGGCAGGAATATGGCGGCCATCGATGTCCATGCCACCGGCAAGGACTTCTCGGGGAAGAGCACCGGCGACTGGGGGTGTCATGCGCATGGTCTCGTCGATGCAAGCGCGTAGGAACGAGCAGCCGCTGAGCTTGGGTCCAGTCACGATTTCCTCAACATCATTGAATGTTTCCCGGATCTCTTTGCAGACTTTCTGCATCGCTGCGGGGTTGTGTGCGAGGTAGAAGAAGGTACCAGCCATGGCCGTTGAAGTTGTATCGGAACCAGCGATGATCAACAGATTCGACTCGCCCCACAACTCATCCATGCTGAAGCCCTTGCCGGTTTCTGGGTCCTTCGCGTTAAGCAGGTAGTAGAAGAAGTCTTTACGGTCAACGTCGACGCCCAACTTTGTTCGCTCCATGGCTTGGCCCTTACTGTACTGCATGTACTGTGCACGCTGGCCTGCGATCTTGCGGAAGAAGAGCTTGTCCAGGTGCCAGTTGTGGATGGTAAGGTGCGTTCCGCAGATGAGATGTCGATGTGCCGCGTTGCCAACCAGCTGAGTTGCGAAACGATTGGTAGGGCTTTCCAGCATACCAAAAGCCTTTCCGAATACCAGATCACCCATAATGTCGAAAACGAGCCACTCGCACCAATGTGCAGCGTTCCAAGCGTCGTTCCAGCCACCATCCTTCTCATCGGCGAGGCTCTTCTCGGCAGACCAGTTGTTGCTCTTGCGTCCGAGCAGTTCGCAACCAACACGTACATTTGCCAGGATGTACTTCTCGAGACTCTTGATGGCCGAGTCGCTGAAAGCGTGGCTCATCACACGTCTCTTGCGTGCATGCTGCATCTTGTCGATAGAACTATGGACGCTGACAGCTTTGGGTGTACTGGGGAAGGCTTCGTAGAACGACGCCTTCTTGACGTTTGATCGGAATCCATAGATGGTCTTTAGACCAGTGGCGGTGTTGACAGAAAGTAGATTCGGTCCAAGACGGACGTACGGTCCATATTGCTCGTGCGCGCGGTGGAAAGCGAGATGCCGAGAGCCCTTGTAGGCGTAGTACGCCAGATAGATATCTGTGATCTTTGCGAGGAAAGGGCCTGGGTATGATGCAAGAGGATGGAAAGTCAGGCGGTAAACGATGACGCCAAAAATCTGAGCACGATGTTAGCTTTGAATGGCATGAGAACGGGGAGCAACGTACGTAGAGAACCAGCGCTCCGAAGATAGAGGCCAGTAGGAATAGAATTGCCATATTTGCGACAGCTCAAGGCGAGTTGAATGTGTGCTGTGTTATTGGTATCGAACAAAGACCATTGCCACAAACATGCGTGCAGTTGTCAATTCGTGTGCACGAGAGCGAGTACCAAAACCGTTTCACCAACGAGATCCTGTGCAGATAAAGGTACATAAGTACTCAATCACCCTCCACCGCCATCCGCAGCTCCCGCAATACCCTCCCTCATCCCAGCTCCATCGCGATGACAAAGAATAACAGCGTTGTGGAGTAGTCTCGTGCCCTTCTCATCGCAGAATCGGCGAGCGGGTGTCTTGGGTATACGTAGCGGCGTGCCACGGCTAATGTCGGATATCGATGCAGAACGCCGTGTCGCAATCACGTGCAGCGGATATCACAGCAAGCGAGGACACTAGTGCGGACACCCGTGCAATCCCACCTTTTTCGGGACTGGAAGGGCGCGGATATCGTGCGCGTAAGCCTGGCAACAATCACGATCGCAGTGGGCAGCGGGTAAGAAGGATCATCATGCATTACCAGCAACGCATGCACAGACGCGAGCTCATATCATCTCGAGCTAGCAGTCACACCATGTCTTTGCTGCGGCTAGCGGGTGGGAAGCCGTGATGTAGCTTGTAGCTGCAAGTCATGTACTACCAGCGCCTCATGCTGGATGCTTTCTTAGACCCGGCAAAGTATCAATAGGCCCAGAATTCAGAGGTGAGCAATCGAGAGTGTCGCTGACGAGTTCATCGTCTGCCACGTTGACAGTAAAATGCACCAGCACCTTGCGGGACAAACGTTTACAGCGGAAGTTGACACTGAGTGATTTATCAAGAAGCACGATTAAGATCAAAGCCAAGGCTACAGTGTGCAACTGCAGTCGCAGTTCTGGATAGGGAACGACAATGATGTTCGCGACACGCCTGACGAATGAAAAGGCGCGAGTATCAAAGCGGATAGTGCCGTCTTGGCATCCATCGAGCTTCGCGAACATCACCAAGCGTCACGATAGTCGACCCAAACGCGCAACAGTACGGCACCCGCCCATTGACCCATTGACGCCCTTGCAGCCTGTCTGGAAGGCCAATTCCTCGAGATGTCCGTCGCTAAGAATGTGAAGACTACTGTCTTTTCGGTACGCAGCCCGAACCGATCTCGATATGCCTTTACCTTGCCGCCCCTCTTCGGCCAACAACCACTGCGAACACGGGTACTGACTGCAGACTTGTAGAAATACACCGTCCAGCCCACGGGAATCTATGCCGCGATCAACAGGCTCTTCGCGCTCGACCCCAAGCGCTCGACGGGTATCCCCATGAACCCGCAATTCCGCAACCCACCCCCAGGCGGTCTCGATCCCAACTCTTACGACGACCCCGTCACCCTCCCTGCTGCCGATATCGCCGAGAACCCATACTGGAAGCGCGACGTGCGACGACGATACCCCAGGCTCTCGACAGTCACCCAGTCCGACGCGGTTGCGCTGCTCGAAGTTGGAAGCGCGGCAGCACCCAAGCATGAGCTGATTGGCGAGGCGGGCACAAAGTCGCTGGTAGCGGCGAAAGAGGAAGGTGCCAAGGGACTGGCGGTCGCGTTTGAGAAGAACACTGGACTTGCAAAGGACGTGCTCGGTCCTGGTGGTATGCCTCCGCTACCGAGCGGGCTGCACACCACCCTTGCTGGCGGACACAAGCGGTACGAGCTAGAGAACGAGCAGTCATATGGCACAGCGTAGGTCATCCTATCTGATCTTGCAGGAACAACACTAATGTGATACAGATACCCATGCCGGACGTTTGCTTAGAGTATAAGATAAACTGGGTAGGTAGAGAAAGATGATCCGCATTCTGTATATATGGAGACCTTTTTTCCATGCTTTTCGTGTAGCCATCAGTGAACTGCTATTCCCACTCCTTGTCATGAGCGCGTGGGAGTGTTGTAGGAGAGGCGCACGTGTCCGAATGTCTGATTCATGTCTCCTTGTGTCTCACCGTGCGTTTGTGTCGATTCTTCACCTTGCATCCTTTGTTGTTCCTTATCGTCCGTCACTGCGTCGAGAAAGGAAAGCACGACGTGTGTTGATGTCTTGGCGCTGTTGACAGCGACTGCCTCGCCGTCACTACCATATCCCAACTGCACCCACCTCGCACCCGCGCGTCACTCCTGTCCTTCTTTCCACATCGTCGCAACCGCAGTCATGAGCGCCGTATCGGAGAAGGGACCAACGGAGCTGGGTACTGATCCCCTCAACTTCATCTACGCCTGCTCGGTGTGTTGCGCCTCCTTCGCCGATGTATACGAAGGTCATAACGAGACAGTCCGTGGCCTGTCAGATGGTATCAACCCCAAAGAGCGCCTTGTGACGCGCCTGTTTCTCGCCAGTTGCTGTCATGTCTTCTGCAGCAGTCATTTGGACGGCGGCGGTAAGTGAAGCGCGACCGAACATCAGGCAGCTGCTGACAGCCACGACAGGACCGCCTTTCCATACCGCTGGACAGCGACCCCAGTCTCCTTGCCCTGTCTGTATCAAGGAGAAAGGCGACAGCGAGCCGCGCGATCTCTTCTCGATACGCGGCTTCAAGAAAGATGAATACGATCCTCAAATTCCGCCCGCATGGTTCACCGCGCCTCCCATCCGCCTCGATGGTAGTGGAAAAGAGATGGAGGCACTGCGCGTACGTCATGTCGTTCACAGGTCATACACTAGCTAACAACAACCAGTTTCAGTATATTGCGCTTATTCGGTACTGCCAGAATACTCATGCGACCCGCAAGCCCCTCCAAGAAGCCTTTACCGACATGGAGAAGAAGCTGGCTAGTGCGCAGGATCTCGCTTCTAAGGAGCACGCGAAAGTTGTCACACTCCAACAAGAGAACGAGCGACTACGACTGCAAAAGGATCAGTTTCAAGCCATGAAAGCCGAGGTTCAGCGACTCCAGGGTCTCGATGAAGAGGTTGCGCATTTTCGCGATGTCAACCCAAAGGACCTCGCAACATTTCTGGCAAACAAGTCAGCAATACGCCATTACTTGAAGCTTGTTCCTATGCTAGTCGAGTAGGCTGAATATGCCATGCTACAAGGTGTCTGCTAACCGCTTCAGTCAAAACGAGAGGATGCAGAAGCGACTTGCCCAACTCGGCTTTGCGATGGCACTAGAACCTGTACCTAACTTCAAAGGCATTGACCCTCACGCATTCGATAGCGACGAAGCTTCACCTGAGCGCAGCAGACGATCGGACGGTAAACTACGAACGACTGCCTCAAGCCATACCGCCGGTAGATCGGCTCATACAACTGGGCGATTGGGAACAGCATCTTCCGGGTCCTTTGTCCCGCGACCCATGAAGCGGCAACGCCTCGATTCACCCCTTCCCACCAACACCCAAGCCGGCCATCCTTCGAGCCGAGATGCCATGCCACCTCCTCCAAAGCCGATGTCCAGGATGCAATCCATGCGCAAGATGTTTCCGAGCCTGCGAAAGAAGTTCTCCAGTGACCGCTCCAGGTCCGCAGCAGATGGGTCCTTCGAGGACGATGCAGACGTGCAAATGTATGACAACGGACACTGGCAAGATGCTGAAGTCGGTCGTCACCCAGGACGCGATGATTTCCGCGGTGAGACACCGTACATGTCGGGAGCGCTGCCCGTAGAACAACCCCATCAAGCCTCTGACGTTCGAGGATCGCAGCTACTTGCTAGTGTAGGCCTCCAAGACAACCGGTCAGACTTCACATTCCGAGCATCGTCTCCAGTCAAGATGAACAAGCAAAGCACTGGACATCGTCCGGTTCATTTGCCTACTGAGCCCTCATACATTCGCCTTATGGACGGTTTGTCGCGCGACAATGGGATGGAGCTAGGTCTGAAAGATCCTCGCGAGCAGACGAACACGGACTATCGTAGCGATGGCGGGAATAGGCAAGTACTACCTGCTTATCGACATGAGCACGCTGCAGAACGAGTTGATCACCGGAGGCCTTTGGATCTTGGACACCCGTTCATGCACCAGCCGCCGTACGGATCTTCGACCTCTGTTGATGCGCGCCAATACCCTTCCAGCGACCACCAGACTGACGGATACACAAACAGAGCTCACAATATGCCGGATCTTGGCCCCGCCACGCCAGCACCAAGGCGTCAACAACATCCCGGTCATCAGATCGAGAATGTGGTAAGTCCCTATTTCCGAAACGGTCATGACCAGGCCCGCGTTTACCAATCACCTGGCCGCGCTGAACCTCAGGATAGTTCCGATCATTCCGGCGATTATCAGTCACGAAGATCAAGGACGAACCAACCTCGGGCCGGCTGGGTTGAAGCTCGCAGTCTCAACGGCCTCTCATTCTTCGATTCACCGGTCGATTCTAGAAATGAGCCCATCGCGGTGGACCAACGTCGCAGATTGGTAGAGCTAGTACCAACACCATACTCGCATCAGCATCAAAGACGTCATCTTAATTCGCGTGGCTTCATTATACGTCCGGAAGAGGGACGCTCACCGTATACCAACGACAGTGCCTATGGCTCTTCCCAAGATCGAGATTTATACAATAGAAACGCACTCAATCATTCCCAAGCAGCGGTTAATGTACCACCCGCATATCGCCAAAGTCATTCCCGCATCGGTCAGGTGCCCTCTACCATGCCTTCCATCATTTCAAGCCGTCCACCTGCCCGGGTCCAACCTCAATGGGAGAACTTGCAGCGAGCGGGTGTCAGGAGTAGCCGCAATGTTTTCAGTAGTGTTGCTGGGAAGAATCCTGCTGCGCCTTCGAGGAATGGCTTCCCCAGCGCTGGTCGGCGCAATGTCAGACGGTAAAGGCAACCTGTTCTGTTCCTTTCCTATCAAACAGCGAACTGGAGTACTTGGCTTTATGGATGGCCATTTTCGCATGGGGATTCGGCGTATGTATGACCGGGCAAAAAAATGATTAGATCTCCAGTTCTGCTGTCAGCGAATTTTCACCCGTGAGCTACTGCTGCGAGCCTAAATTCTAGGTACGATCAGCGTCCACCTCGTCTATATGCTCGAGTGTTAATCGCCCCTTCATGACTACGATTGCAGCATGCAAAACGGAGATTCGCACCGCATTCCGCACACCGTTCCGTGCGGCGATCAAAAGCCCTCGCAGCGAGCAGATTTGCTGTCGCGCATCACGTTCAATCAAGAGTTTGCCCCATGATGCTTAGCACGCCCACGCCTTCCCTCTCTCAACACGGAGTCTGTCAGTTCGACTCACATGTAGGTAGACAGCCGGCAGATGGGAAGCTAGGACGAATGCGGTAAGGATCAAGGAGGTTTAATATGCGAGGACTATGCAACGAAGCTTCCTCGGCATGCAAGGGCCAATGCCGGTTTTCGATGACATTCATTGGCGGACTATCATGTCCATCTGATTGTTTCACGTACACACCTGATTACTGATTGTCCATGTTGCAGAAGTTCACCAGCTGGCGCGATGGTTTCATCCTAGCGTTTTTCTTCGCCGACAGGCCGTTATAGCCTCCCCACGAATCGTAATCCCTGCGTCCCCGCAAAGCCACCGCGCATGACCCACGATCCCGGTCATTGAAGCTTCCCTTAATATGGCCAAGCAATCTATCAGGCACCGCGGCTTCAAAGCTTCAGAACTATGATGCCACATTCAGCGCTTTCATATCGACATCAGATGAAGGCCCACTCATTGCCATGGCAGAAACGGAAGGCAAAGCCCGTCCATTTGTGGGGCATTGAATCATTGTCATGCGAACTATTTGCGGTATAAGAGTGATGTTTGCCCAGCAGATGAAACATAGAATTGTACAAGCATTCTGCAAACCTTCACACCATGCTGTTCAAGACTCTTTTGGCGGCGGCCGCTCTGGCCAGCACCGCTTTCGCGGCTCCTGCTGAGAAACGCCAAACTTCTCGCAAGATGAAATGGTTCGGAATCAACGAGTCTGGTGCCGAATTTGGCGAGAAGAACTTTACAGGCGTTTACGGAAAAGAATACACCTGGTACGATCTCAACACCATCGACAAGTTCATGGACGAGGGAATGAACATGTTCCGTTTGAACTTCCGTAAGTCATACCTCCATACGCCACAACTTCTCAAACCCCCGACCTAACACTACCCAGTAATGGAGCGCCTAACCCCCAACTCCCTCACCGGCGCCTTCGACCCGCTCTACCTCGGTAACCTCACCGAGCAAGTAAACCACATAACCTCCAAAGGCTCCTACGCCATGATCCAACCGCACAACTACGGTAAGACCTAACTATACGAAGTGCATGTAAGACGTATACTGACTTCGTACTTTCACCTCTGCAGGTCGCTTCCTCGGTAACATCATAACCGACACCGCCGCCTTCAAGACGTGGTGGACAAACGTGGCCGCCGAATACAAAGACAACGACCTCGTCGTCTTCGACACAAACAACGAATACCACGACATGGACCAACAACTCGTCTTCGACCTAAACCAAGCCGCCATCGACGGCATCCGCGCCGCAGGCGCCACAAAACAATACATCACTCCTGAAGGCAACAGCTGGACCGGCGCGTGGACGTGGATCAGTTCTGGCAACGGCGCTAGCATGGTCAACCTGAAGGACCCAGAGAACAAACTCGTATACCAAATGCATCAGTACCTCGATACCGACGGCTCTGGTACTTCAGCTACCTGCGTCAGTGCGACGATCTTCAAAGAGAGACTGCAGGCTGCGACCAAGTGGCTCAAGGATAACAAGAAGCAGGGTGTTATTGGCGAGTTTGCGGGTGGCAATAACGCGCAGTGCATTTCTGCGCTGCAGGATGGGTTGAAGTATATGGGCGAGAATAGCGATGTTTGGCTTGGGGGTATTTGGTGGGCAGCGGGACCGTGGTGGGCCGATTACATCTATAACATGGAGCCTACGACGGGCGTGGCTTGGACGGGGATTTTGCCCAAGATTAAGAGTTACTTTTTGTAGAGGGGAAGGGTTCGTGAAACGAGGTTAAGTGGAAGGTGGTTGTATATACTTTGCTGTTTTCTTCTTGTAGATATTCGTACGATGAAGCCCTCATTTGCTATCCTGCTCATCTTGATGTACCCCGTCATGTATCCAACAATCCCCCATCTAAGGCTTCCCCTCCCAAGCCTTACTCAAATACTCCTCCGCGCTCATAAACTTGTACTCCGGGAACCGCTGATTGAACTCATCGCTCACATCCCAAGCCCCCCTCCTAATCGCCTCAAAGAACATGATAACAAATGCCTTGCTGAAACCCTCCCTCACATCATCCTTAACAGTAGGATGACTAATCAACGGCAACCAGCTGGCTTTCAACTCCCCTTTCTCCAGATCCTCGCTCTTGACATACTCGACGAGCCAGTCTCCGCCTCTGATCTTTTTGCCTAGAGCAAGCAGTTCGTTGATGGAAGTACGGCATCCCCTGATACCACCGATCTTCGGCCACGGACGCATGTCATCGAGGGCGCGAGCGAGTATCTCGCAGTCGTCTTGGATGGCGGTGATGACGATGGGTTGGTTTCCATCATCCAGAATCATAGCACGTCGGTTCTCAAAGTCGAGGAAGAAAGGCCAGGTGTAAAGGTCGCGTTCTAGCGGGTATGGATGCGCGAAGTAGTCCATGAAGATGGAGGGTTGGAAGAGACAGTACTGCATAGATCCCAGTTCACCCTTGGCGTCTAGGTCTTCGAGGTACTTCCGGATGTAGTCTTTGTTGTCGTAGCTGGGGACGCCGGCGTAGTTTGCAATGCCCCATTCGCTGGGTGCGAAGCGGGAGACGCCTGCGGTGATGGCGGCGTGGATTAGATTCTTCTGGGCGACGTTGTCGGTGTCGAGGTGGACGACGAAGAAGGATAGGAGGGTGTGGAAGCCCTGGAGAGCCGTGGTGAGGCCATTGAGGTCGGTGTAGTCGACTTGCTTGTAGGTTACTTTGGGGGACGGGTGGGATTTAGTTGGGGCGGACCGCGTGAAGATGGTGATGTCGTGCTTGCCTGAGGCGATTGTCGACTTGAGCAAGTTGGTTGCGACGTCTTTGGAACGAGTTAGTAAGCGATGATGGGATCATAATGATAGCGACGGATGAAAGCCATTTGCTGTCTTGACAGCGGCGGGGCAGGCATGTGGGATGAGGGGAAGCATACTTCCGGTGCCGCCTGCGACTGCGATTTTGACCATGATTGCACGTGATTCGATATCGCGCTTTCGATGTTGAAGGATCCAACTGTAAGCACTACGAAATACAAGCTCCCTCCTTTTGTATCTCCAACGGCCGCTATCTATTGCTCCGCTTCGAGGCCCCCGCAATTTTTCGCTGCGAAGGCGTGTCTTCGGCGGATGACGGCATGGTCCTGACTCGTGTCACAAAACCCCAAGTTTTGAAGCTACGATCTCGGCTATCGCGATATCATCGATGTTTGAGTATTTCATGTGATGCTCGACGCATATCGATTACATGATAAGCTACGACTGGGCTGAGCGCTCTTTACCGATTTTGGTGGCAATCTCATACGAGCTGCCGCCCTGGTACCATGCTGTGCGACCAGATATGTTGTATTGCTTGGTAAACGTTGACTGTTGATCTTGGTTGACTTCAAAATCACAGTGCGGCGAATCGAAACGCCTTTGTGAAGACATGTGAGACAATAGATTGACCAAACAGGTTTGAAAATGAGAATGCAGAAAAGATTGGAAAGACGGAAGAAGTGATAGAGCGTAAATGGTGAATAGATGAGGTATCTGTAAGTAAATGTGAAGAAAATGATGGTCATAGATCGAAATGCTCAAGCATCGATCAACGGTACCGCCGGTAAAGGTTTCTCCGGCAGCGGTTTACTCGGCAACGGCTTCAACGCATCCTCATATGCCGGTGGTCTCGATGAGCTGCCTTCGTCCGGGTCATCGCGATACGCGCCGTGGGCGTTCAGCAGCGCGCCCTCTTCTTCAGCCACCCTATCCCTCCTCATGTTCTCCCAAACATCTTCCATACCGTCCCACTTCATGAGCTCGCGCTGCGCAACGATCCACCAACACACCTTCCATAAGAGAAAGATGGCGAATAGGCCGCCAACGACGCTGCTGAAGATAACCCAGAACAGGCCCCACCATTCCCAGTGAACGAACTCGCCGAACATGTCGCGGAGAGTTCCTTTCTTGCCATAGTAACCCCACTCTTCTTTGCGGTAGAGGAAGCGACTCCCCTCTAGTTCCCAAACATCGCTGCCGAGGAAGTGACCTATCGTGCCCCAAATCGTCAAAGACTTCTTGAGGGGAAAGGTGTAGGCTCGAGCTACCAGGCGCATGTCGACGATTTGGTACTCGTAAATCTGATCATCCGTGGTGGATTGACCGAACGGGTCGGCGACCTTGGCTGGTCCTCCTTTGTCTCCTCTTTTCAGAGGTGTTCCTTTGACGCGCATCCACAGCATCTGCTGCTCCGGGTTGTTGAACTTCCAAAGAGGGTCGTCAGGGTACCGCGACTTCCCAATCACGTCCAGCGCAACGCTCCAGTATTCCGCATCCGCGTCATCGCCCTCCTGGTTATCGCTCGGGTTCGTGATATATAAATAATCGATATACATTCGCGGGGCATGTGTCAAAGGTACTTCGTGGCACCATCGTCCTCTGTCACTCCAGCTTTCTCGACAATACGGGTCTTCGGAATTTAGGCCCCAGTACAGTTCCGCGTGGGAGAGGTTTTGGCGATATCGTGTAACGAGGAAGGTGGAGGGTGTGGGTATAGTCGGTAAGGGATATAGTGGGCGATCGTTGAGGAGGACTGTGCGATTATCGTGCGTGAGGGTTACGTTGAGAAGCTATAGCGCTCAGGCTGGTTAGCACCGCTCTTTAGGCACATGCTGGATCTAGGCTTGACACTTATACATACAAGCACATGATCACTAGTTATGACCTCGTGATCATCAGGGTCCTCATAAGGGCAGTCCTTGCATTCTATCTTCGCGATGTAGGACGATCCGGGTACCACGGCTGCGACCGGTGCAATGGGCGCCTCGCACCCTTCAGGCACTTTCCCTCTTCCATCCAGTTCGCAGTCGAGGACTTCGGGAATATCTGCAGCATAGGCCGAAGACAGAAGGCCGGCCAGCAGCGCGATACCGGACAGCAGCATGGTGGGCTGGTGGTGGAATGATCGAGGGCAGGTGCCTGGCGCTCGTCGCTGCCGCCGCTGTCAGGGGCGTAGCGTGGCGGAGCCTTGCAGGGGTGTCGCGCGATTAGCCGGCGATCATGAGGCACGAACGCTGGTTCCCCGCCAAACTTCTCTGCCACCTCCGCTCACAGCGTGCGGAAACACCGATATCGACGACGATGCGATCATCGTATTCCCATAATTTCAGTGCTGTATAACTTTCGACGGCTCCCATTGCTCACGCGCCCACGATCTACCTCAACTCAGACAACATCATCATCAGTGCTCTATGGAGCCATAACGATGCCATTTTAGATCAAGAGTTGATGTGTGCGTAGAGTGGCTAATGGTTCTATTGCGAAACATCGGCTGCTATGCGAAATGGGGAAAATAATGCGACCATTCAGGAGTGTCAAAAGCCGACTCGGGAAGATGGAAGACGTCCAAAAAGCACTCGACGATAATGAAAACTCTGCAGAATATGTAAAAGAGCCACACAGTAGTGTGCAGCGACCATGCCAGCTCAGGCCTCAGCAAGATCCAGCGGCACGTCATACCTATTCTTAGCACTCCGTTGTGTAGTTCCTTTCCCTCTGGTGGGAAAGTCGACGCCCAGTCGACCGCAGTCTCCCCTATCAGATAGACTGGTATGAAAAGCAGCCCAAAGACGCTAATCGTTGTGGCGGATATCCTCCACAGAAGTTCTTCAGTTGCAGTTCGAAAGACATGGTTCCATACCAACATATGAGCTCCACCATAGCAGAGATTGGCAAAGACCAACCTGTGTGTAAGCACTATCTTCCAGGTACGGTCTGGTCCACTGAACTCGTCGCGGAGTTTGAGTTTGAGCTGTTCAGAGGTAGGTCGCGCCTTGATCCTTCGCGATAAGATATGACGCTTAGCTTGTACAGGGTTGAATCCGACGTCGGCATGGACAAGGGCGTCATAAAGCGTTACCTTCTTCCCTCCGCCACTTTGCGGCAGTGGCATGAGATCAAACTTTCTGGCAGCTTCAGACGCGAGCTGGAGAAGGTATTGTTGCGAGTCCGCGGCTTCTTCGCCTTCCAACGACAAGCGACTGAGATCTGAACCGGGTAGAGAATCCGCGGCCGCTAGGAAAGCCCCCAGAAGTTCGATATCCTTCCCCTGTAGAACGAACCCTTCCTCCACGTCCAGTGGTTTGCTCCACATTGTGAATACGTGGTGCATCAGAGCGCCTGCACTGTGTATCCCTACATTCAATTCCAGTAGCGAAACCGTTAGACCCTGCGAGTGTCTGGTCAGACATTGGATGCAGAACCACGCCGCTTGAGAGCATGCCAGAATCTTCACCATGGGGTTCCCTTTGCTCTTGTCCAGGATGTACGATTCTGAAACTCTTTCGAAGAACTTGGGGACGTGCTTTGCAATAAATTTGATGCTGGGGACGGATAGAACCAGCCTGGTTTCGCCGCGCGGTAGGTAACTCTCTCTATCTCCGGTGTCGATGACAAAGCCGCCCATGACGGCGAAGAACGAATAGGTGTCTGTCCAAAGATGGGTTGATGGTATTTTGCTGTCCTGGACCGTTTTCTGACGTCGTACCTTCGAGGGAATGTATCGGACGGCGTCTTGCAATTGCTGGTAAGCTCTGCGGATGATGTTTGGAGGCGGATCTTGGTTGAGCTGCGTTCGCATGTAATCGCCCAGCTCCATCGCCTCTTTGTTATGGCAGTATGCTTGAAACACGACCTACAGTTGGGACAGAATCAGCGGAGTCGTTGTCAGCACTTGAAGGATGGTCGTACCAGTTCTGAGGTGAACAGCGCCATCATCACCCAACCAGCTTTCCTCCAGAATAGATCGGCTGTTTTACCATATTCTGGAATGTTTACATGAATGGCTTTCCAGACGCACAACACTAGAGTGAGGATGCATGTAGAGAGTATCGAAAAGGTTCCGCGGTTCTGAGGCTCAGCCTTCCAGGTATGATATTGCGTGATGTTTTCGGTTGAGTTCATAGTGAAAGATAGGCTCGGGTGGAGTTGAAAATGCGAGATCGTCTTCGTCACGGCGTGTGAAGGATTCTTATACCATATCGCGAACCGTGTTTTCATGTTGGCACGGAGATTTTGCACACAGTGGCTTTGCTTTTGAGCCTTTGGGGGCGTAAACCAGGCCATTAATAGAGTTGGTATGCAAGGGCGTGCTGAGTGGCTGGAGGAATCCTCCAGTAAGCGATTGGTTGTACAACGCAAGTTCTGTGCTTTTTCGTCTACCTGTGAACATCCACAAATGGGGCCGATTTGGCTGCATCTGGATCTCGTACTGAATCTGATGTGTCATACACCATTGGGCTGGTAGGGTCGCATCGACCAGACAGCCTATCATGATCCTATCTTGGAAAGTGAAGCTTGCGTGGCGAGTTTGGACCACACATCGGGTACCACCTTCTTTTCTGTCATGGTATCTTTTTTTCCTTGCTTCTTAACTCTGTTACGATTACGGTCCAACCCGGCGGCGTTCGACTGAAGGTGATAAACCGTGTTGTCTTGCGTAGAGCCGGCGGTTTTGACGATTAGTGACACCACGCTGGCTGAGCAAAAGGCACTACAGACACCTCTTCTGCACATATCAAGCTTGCTTGCTACAAGTGCTGTCATCCATCGCGCAGATTCCTTTTCATTTGCTAGCAAACCATGTCGAACGCATGTCTACTCAGTTGTGTTCTCTCTGCTATTCCCTTCCTCTTTCACCGCAATCATGGCGCAGCTTTCCTGTGAGCGACGTAGTGGGAATATCATCAGAGTCGACGATCACCTGGAGATCGAATTCCACAGGACATCTATCGATCCCGACCGCGACCTGGCCGATCTGCTTCCTGAAGACGGTATATTTCCTCTGCATTTTCTGCAAAGGGACAGTAATGGACAGCAATTTGATGAGGCAAAATGTAGGGGGCTTTATCTACATATGAAGCGTGAGTCGCATACCAGCAAATCCACTCACACGCGCTAACCATGGGGCAACTGCAGAGAGTGAAGCCATGTGGATCAAGCTTGACGCAGACAGGCTGTACGTGATCTGTATCTACATTGACAACGTGAACGTGGTAACAGGCCAAACATCGCAAGTACAAGGCCAGCAAGATTATTTTATCGTGCCGGATCAGGCCTTCGTCAATGGATACAAGTCCAACATCAATGCGTTCACGAGACAGTTTCGCCGTCCACCGTATGCACCGAATTCTACACAGCAAGATGCTCAGACCGTACGCTTCGAGGTAACCCCATCCACGAACACTGGAATACTGACAGGCATCGGTATGGGTGTTGAGGGTGAAGTACTTAACCGAACTGTAGTAACGTTACCCGGCATGACTGTTAAGGATTACACGAGGAAGTACGAACTTCAATTCGAAGATGGTGTTGATGTCTCGGCTAGACTTACCAGTAAAGGGGAACAGGTTGACGGTATTAGGAGCGATCATGTGGTGTAACACAAGCTGACTCGATCGTAGACACTTTCTTAGTTGCTGACTGCGAAAATCTTCATGTACGTCTTAACGTCCTTTCACGACGAAGATTACGCTGAAACCGTTGATAGGATCATACAGTAGTAGTGACCAACCGCGACGGACACCTACACTCTCGCCTGCTCAAACTCGACACTTATCCATCTATCGGATGGGAGCCACATCGCACAACCATCTTCAATGTTCGCATGCTCAATTCGAAAGCAGCTTGCGACCTATTTGGTGCGCCCAGATTTGAAGAGACTGACAAAGAAGAAGAGAGGTTGCATGGAATCGATGGCCTTCTCGCAAAATTCGACCCCGAACCAGCATCAACAAAACCTTTGGTACTGTTTCGTAGAGTACCGCGACCCCTCGAGATCTATTGAGGGGCAAGCTGGAGATTGACTAAAGGCCCTTGTCTCGTAGGTAAATATCTGATGTGAGTTGGTAATGTCGATCAGTCGAGTAAGCCACGACCTTCCCATACAGCGTGCAAAGTGCGTCACAACTCCTGTGCGGCAATCACGAATCTACGCATCAGACATCAGCCAATCCCGCATCTCAGTATCTTTCGTTTCCGCCCCTGGCGTATTTTACATTCGCGGTCCGTCCCGGCGTCGCTCGCGTAGTCATCGGCGTTGTCCATTGGTCTTCCGCAAAGCCCACGGTTCAGCCGCTGGGCTACACTATGCTAGTCGAGATGACGGAACTGTGGGCGTCGTTCCTTGATGCGAAAGGGGCACGCGACAGATCAGTCGCGTCGAGTCGTGGAGTGGTTGGTTGTCGTTTCGTGTTGCTGGACACTATGACGTCACTCATGAGATCACAACGCGTAACACGACCTCGGGCCATGAGTAGGTTTAACAACCCAACAACCTCGCAACTCAAACATCTACACGAACAACTTCATCCTACCTAATCGTGGTAAACCCAACTCATCGAACTATACAACCCAAACCACACACTCAGTCCACCAACCACCCACAATGTCCAGCTCGACCTTCCAATCCTTCAGCACCTCCTCCTCCAGCACAACCATCAACGGCCAAACAACCTCAAAATCCGAACACACCTTCACAGACCCCAGCGGCACCCGTGTCGAGCGCACACATCAAGCTCCAGGTGAAGCGCCGCGCGTTGAGCGATTCGAAACAGATGCTGCAGGAAGACAGCTAGAGGACCACAGATATGCGGATGCGAAGCGAATTCAGGATGTGACGGAGGAAGAAGAAGCTAAGGTGAAGGAGAGGGAGTACGAGGAGAGGATGCAGGATGAGTATGCTAAGAGGGAGGGGGGTGCTTGAGTGAAAGTCATATTGTGGACATAGTCGTCTTGAGTAGAGATATATCACGCCAAATACATATATCACGAAAGAGGTTTGCAGAATACAATGTGAGCGGGAAGACGCCACCGGCAAACAAGCTTGCAGCCAAGAGACTCCATTGAAGTATATACGCGGCCAGAGCGCGCCGAGAAGCCACCCAAGAGACCACAACCCCACCCCAAACTCCCCAAACCCAACCCAAAAGACCACCCAGGAGGTCACAACGCCCCAGACGTGTCGTCATCGTCGTCGCCCGCCGCCCCGTCGTCCTCAGTTGTGTTGGAGGGCTCGCCAGCGGTACTCGTCGGCGGTGGAGAGGGAGTTGACGAAGCGGTGGAGCGCCGAGCCCCGGATCCCGTGCAACTCCCACTGGGTAAAGACCCGAGGGGGAGGAGGGGGCGGAGGAGGCGGTGGCGGAGGCGGCGGCGGGGGAGGAGGAAAGCCACCTGCTGGGCGAGGCGGCGCCGGTGGGTTGACCCAAGGCGGGATCCGCCGTCCCTCGAGGGCGAAACCGGCGCTGGCGGGGGGAGGGACTTCCTCTCCATCGGCCTCAGGCCCAACATTGGCAAAGCAACGCCACATGATGATGTATTTGCCGGTGGTGTTCCGGACTTGGTGGTGTAGGATGGTGGGAGGTTGCCGAAAGGTCTTGTTGTTGGTGTTGAGGGAGGAGGGAAGAGACTTTTAAGAATTGTAAACAATTCTTGATCTGGGCAGAGTGATGTGGTTGCCAAAGAGCAGAAGAGGGATCCCAAAATTCGCTTGTTTATATAGTCGGCGCCCCGAGGCCCCAGCGCCCGCGCCAAGACGAGAGCGACGGTGACCTGTACTCGACGACGACCCTTTATTGAGACCTAAAGAGGTGATACTATTGTTCAATGGCCATGTGGCAACCAGCTCAGGCAGTTGCAAGCTTGTCCGGGGCGTGTAGCACCTCTATTGTCTGCGTGAAGTACTGTTGACCATTTGGGTGACCCACTAGCGCCGGGATTCTGCTGGGGTTGTGTGACTTCTATTGACTGCAAGGGTAGGCGGGTATGGTGAGAGACCACCGAAGGTCATAGGTATTGTTGAAGAAGCATCCCAAGAATGTATACTGATCAGTCCTGTCCGGGATATCTTTCACTGACAGCAGTCTTATGAACCTCTGACGGCGACCTACTAGGACAACGTTCGATTCCAGACTCTCCAATCTACGGCCTACATCGTACCGAAGCCAGCACAAGAAAGCCACGATGGGTACAAGGCAAAGCGATAGGCGGGCAGGAGGGAGGCCAAGGGGGTACGCGGTTCCTGACATATGTAGACGGAGGCGGTAGGAATGGCGAGGACGCCTTGAGCAAGCATGGAAGTGTGACAGCAGCGGCGGGACGATGTGCCAAGGGGATACCATGAGCCAACGTAGGAGGCTCTTGAGACGATGAGGAACATGTATCTAGCATGTAGCAGCTGCAGGCGATCAGAGCAATTGATCGCATGCCTTGTACACTTGTTACTTGATCTCCATGCTTGACCTTCGTGCTTGACATCGCATGAGACGATCCCCGATGTCTATAGTGCAAGCTACTCAGGAGCGCGTTGCATGCAATTTTGCAGCGTTCGAGGGCTGGACGCAGGCATGCTATCACGATAGGCGCTGTTTGTACGTGGCCAAATCGTGGGAGTCTTCTTCTAGCCGCTCCGCAGAAGGCCAGTAGGGTTTGGAATGCAGACCTTTAGTTGTGCAAGGCGCAACTCCCAGCTGTGCTTGGGCGCATGCTGGTATCTGGCTTGCTCGTTCACAAAGGGTCTCCCGCTACCCTATGCTTGACGCATCTCCTCAGATTTGATGAAGGGCGGGCTGCATCGTGGTGGGGCTGATATCGTGCTTCGTCTCGCTCCGCCGACCGCCGCCTCAGCTTCACCACACACACGACCACAACGCCATCATAGGAGTGCGGCTACTCGCCAAAACTTGACCAGAGTCTTGTCAAGCGCGAAGGCCTCTACTGCGACCGCTTAATCAGAAGGCATCATGACCCGCGACGGCAGGCTCGTTCCAGGTCATTACACGGCAACAAGGCACGACTTCGCGCCACGAGCTCCTCGACACCCAAGCGGACGAGAGAGGCTTCCTGCGAGCTTCTCCGACATCAGAGTATCGTCGATAACAGGCAGGATCGCGCGACGTCTCTTCGAAGGCATGGCTAAGATCCCCTCACCCCTGACGGAGAGCTCACTCACCCCAAGGCAAAGCCAGCCGACGGAGTGGTAAGCTACTGCGCAACCTTTACTGATGATTGACAGACGAGCGGCTTCCTGACAACGGGCAGTAGCGATACGATACACCCATGTTCGGCTTGTTCACTCTCGGGGTGGCGGGCTCCTCCGCGGCGTTGAGAACGAGCTTGAAGACTTTTGCTGCCTCAAGACGGCGACTGGACACACCAGATCTGAGGCCGAGGTGGAAGATCCAAGAGCGACTGACAAAGGATACAGTGATCTAGAGCAGACCTTGAGCACGCCCTATGACCATTCCGAATCGCCGCCATCCTCGCGCACAACCTTACACGAAGCCGCAGAGCGCCTCCGCCTAGACCAGTACCGCCAATATATCTTGATCGCAAGGCAAAACAAGGCTTGGATGAGCTGCATACGGAACGCGAGAGCGGCGACAGGCCAGACAACAGCGAGATAGAAGAAGCACCCCTTGGATGGAGGGCAGCTCGACGAGACGGCGGCCGAGGCTCCAAACGCGACGGATACCGGCGATGAGAGACAGCGACATTCGAGCGGCATATCTGCTTCTCCCGCATGCACACTGCAACTGGAGAATGCCATCAACGAATCGCGACTGGTTGCTTGAATGGCGCGTGGAACACCATCGACTGCGGACAGCCTCAAGCTTGAGACGCCCAGCAGCACACAACGAGGGCACGAGCCTCAGGACGTTGGAGTAGGAGAACGCGGGCAAGCCAGCGCGACCTGTCGCCCGTAAACCTCGCATGACGGAACAAGGCTATCCTCTCTACCCATCCTCAGCGGCCAAGCATCAAGCCGTCCGTGCTGAGAGTCTTCGGCAAGAGGCCAATGAGCCGCATAATCGACGCGACAGTTGGAACGATGGATAGCCTGGAACGTGTTCATCATAAGACGAGCCAGCCCAGACAGACACGTTTGACGACAGGCATAGCGAAGCCGGCCATACTCTCGTCAGGTGGTCAAGATCCGGCTTTCGGAAGCGATGTCTTGAGGCTGAATGTCCTTATGAGCTCGGAACGGCGATGAGAATAGCATCGGGGGTGCGCATAATCATGGCTAAAATGTGCATGAGCATGCCGCTATGAGATGCGAGCAGATTGCGCAGCGTCGCGCGGTTCGTAGGACGTCTTCCACGCCATTCGACGCCCTCACAACGGAAATCCGAAGACCATGGCGCACAGCTTTCCACGTTGCATGCCGCGACAGTATTTTCCTAGCTCTTTCTATCGCCAGCGAGATGAGCGATGATATACCGGTGTTACGGAACAATGGAAGATGAGTTGGCGAGCTTCTCGATGAAGTTTGCGAAGAAGGGACGAAGACGTGCGGTCGGAACTCCGGGAAGGATGACGCGCGGAAGCGAGTGTGGGTCGCCATCTTCCGCCCAGCCACCGTCGACGTGCAGCCGCAGACCAT